ATCAGAGAAAGCAGTCCTGGCTGCCTTCCAATTCTGCATCCTTCTGCAGCATAACTGAGCTGAATTTGAACAAAAGGGAGCCATAGCTGTAGCTGGTAGATGTAGTTAGGCTTTTGGATATGATGATGATGATGATGATGATGATGATGATGATAATTTGAGATGGATAGCATTCCTCCATGCCTGTGTCTTGGTGAGGATGATCTAGTCTCCCCGGAGGCACTGATGTTGTAGGAGTAAGAATGGAAAAGGTGAGAGGAGAAGGGGTGAAAATGCACATAGAGGGACATTMATCAGGTTCACAGAAGTCTCCTGCCTAACAGATGCTGGCCAAGGGGCTGCGGGCCATGAAGACTGGGGAAGGTCTGGGAATTCTCTGGGGTCTCAGTGCAGTAGGGAGGGTGCAGAGGGAATGAGAGGGCTAAGGGTGAGGAGCAGCTGACTATCTTCTAGCTCAGGGCAACCCCTGTAGCTCTCAGTGTCCCCTGTAGGTGTTTATGGTAAACAAGAAACTAAATGCTAAGAGAAAGCTTTAGCTACTGCCAGAAGAGACAAAACAGAAATATTATTATTATTATTATTATTATTATTTATTATTATTTCTAGTTTGTATAAATCAACTGAAAAATGGTACAATGATTGATCATAGATACACAAAAAATTTAAGCATTACTGTATATCAGCAATAAATACACAGTATAAATGGCAAGAAATTTCATTCTTAAAAGCAATAAAATGGTCTCTCATCATGAATCAATGTAAAAGAGAATATGTATCAAAAAATTTAAAATGGCAAAGAATATAATTTATAGTTGAATGAATAAAAAGAGATGCTTTATCAGTGAACAGGGATATTCATCATTATGAGTGGGTTGATTTTCTCCAATTAATGTACAAATTTCTATGGTTTTAAATAATGTAACATCTAATATGCAGCATTATGTTAATGTAATATAATGGAACTTACATAAGTCATTGAAATAAAAGTGCCAAAGAGAGGAATATGTTTTTAGTTGATAAAATGTTTCTGAAGGATAGCTAGAAATATAAATCTGTAATAATGACCCCAAATTATTAAAAATGATGAGGAAGAATGGAGATGGCTGATGATTTACATAAGGTTCTCACTAAAAATTGACAAGGATTTAAACAATGGCATGCTCATGGAACACAGAGCAATGGAATAGATTAGAAAATTCAATAACTGATCCAAGGGTCTATAATTTACTGTGATAAAATTGACATTTTTAATTAATTGGAAAGGATATGATATTCTTTAATTTTTAAAAAGGTGAAACTCTTATTCATAAATTCTTTGGAAATAAATATCATTGAAATTAATGAAGAAGGCTGGGTATGTGGCTCAGTGATAGAGTACTTACCTAGCATAGTTAAGGCCCTGGTTTTAATCCCTTGCACTGTTATGTCCGCCCCCTGCAAATAACACTAAAATAATGAAAAATAGAAACAGGAAAAAGTGATTTTCAGATGAGGGAAGGACTTTCTAAATATAAAAGACATAAATCATAAAAGTTCACAAGTTCCTTTGATAAGAATTTGTTAATATTTCAAAATATTCAAATAATTAAAATGATAGGACAATTTATAAGCTTATAAAACTTTAAATACTCGGTGAAAGAAAAGTTAAAATTCTCAAATCAAGTTTAAAAATAACATGTTGTTTGGTGTGGTGGCCCATACTAGCAATTAAAAAGACTGAGGCAGGAGGATCACAAGTTCAAGGCCAGCCTCAGCAACTTAGTGAGGCCCTAATTAACTTAATGAGACCCTGTCTCAAAATAAAAATAAGGGCTGGGTATGTAGGTCAGTAGTTAATCACCCCTGGGTTCAATCCTCAGTAGACAGAAAGAGAGAAATAGAGATAGAGATAGAGATAAAGATTGAGATAAAGATAGAGATGGAGGAGGAGGAGGGGAAAGGATAGGGGAGGAGAGGAGGAGGATGAGGAGGAGGAAGAGGAGGAGGGAGAGAGAAAGAAAGAAAGAATGCGTGTCAATAGAAATTCTGGCAGATAACTTGAACAAATCCTTCATTAAAAAAGAAGAGTTTATATCTAATAAACTTAAGACTTCATGTCACACAGGAGCATAAAATTACAAAGACACAGAGGATAGCATTTTTCTTCTCTGACTAGAAAATATGACAAAAATGATTATGATCAGTGGAGAAATATGTAGAGGGAAAGGAAAAAATTTGCTGGTGATCTTAATTTGACTCCTATCATCGAGTATTGAATTTATAATACATATAAAATCATTAAAGTATTATTCTCTTTGATATAAATATGTAAAAAATCCAAAAGATATTAATATTTTTATCGCAGATTCTTCATAAAATAAAAAACTGGCAAACCTACATTTCTGAGAATAGCAGATTGATTAGGTGATTTCTGTTACATATGTAAGTTTGTATTTCTATGAAAGAGTATTCAATTCTTGAATTCTCTTTTATAAGAACATATATTGATGTGGAATAGG